GAACTTTTGAACATATTTGTCCACTAGTTTTATTGTTGGAATGAAATATAGCAAGACTTGCATTGCCTACTAAGAAAGTTAGTAGCCAGTAGTCATCGGGTTAACCCTATCAGCAAGGGTACCTTTTACAGCGCATGACACAAGGTTTTAGTGTCTTACATTCTAAATTTTATTAAACTACTTTTTGTTTATGTTATACCAATTATAATAGCATAAAATCTTAGCTAATAATCCATATTTTAATAGTATACAAGTTTTAAGTTCTTAATTCTAAAAAGAAATATATATAAAAATCCTTAATTTCCACTAATGTAACACACATGGCAAATTTTGTTTTAGCATGTCATCATCCCTATTTTATCCATCACCCCTCGAAAATGTAAAATGCTCTCCATAAAATCGTTATTGCTTAAACAGACCATAATTTTTATGCCTTTCAATTTTGTTTTGTTCAGACCCCTCCTGCCACACCCGCCAGGTCACATCTTCACTTTTACAACTGGTTGATAGTTCTCTCTTACGTTTCATTATATATCATTTATAACCAATAGAAAGTCAAGGTTCTCATCTATCAAATGGCATTTTGTATAACATTGTGTTTTGAACAGATAACCATCAATGTCACTCGGAGTAGCAATTTTATTCGTGTGTGAAAGTTAACGACTAGCTTGGACGAATTTGTAACGGCGTTTGTCACGTAGTTAGAAAGCCAGGAAATTTTTTAGAAGTAAGTGAATTTGTCTACTTTTTGCATGTTATTAGTCTATATTATTTGATGTATTATTTAAGTAAATAAAAATTGTTAGGTGCTTTACCATAATCACTAAAAAATCAGGCTTAACTCTACTCGACAATCAAAGGCAAGAAAAAAATTAAGATTGGGTAAGAACTTTATTTCTTGTTTTTCATTCTTATTCTTTATTTATTATTATAAAAGTAACTAAAATTAAAAGTATGGATCTTTTTAACTTATTTAAGACTAGAATAGGTAAAATAAGTAATAACAATAATATAAATAAAATTGTTCACGAAGCATGCACACGAGCAGCTCGTTGGTAATGTTGGCTGCCCATTCCCTGAGTGATTTACAACTTATAATGGCACGGATAGCAGTTAGAAACGATTCAATGGGCAATATGAAGGGCAATAAAACAATAAAATTTAATTATAAATACATATATAATGTTACGAACTTAGAGCTACTTAGGATAAACAAATGTAGTTTCAGGTTACAATCTGAAGTCATACTAGAAAGAAAAGAAGGTAAATTTAGGTTTATTTCGATTTTTTTTTTTGGTGGTTATGAGGTCGGTCAAATTGACTGATCCAGTTTTGAGATTAGGGTAGAGAAAATAACATATAAAATGTTTGAAATGCATTTAGGAGGTTTTAGGGATTACACAAAGGAAATTTGAGGTTTTTGAGATGACAAAAAGTATTTTTAATTTTAAAATGAAAATTACTTTGCACATGGCCTATTCAAAACAAATACTCAATATATTCATGGACAAAATTATTTTATTTTAATAAAAGTACTTCACTAAGAAATATGACTTTTAGTACGTAAAAGACTGCCTAATTTCATGAAGATATACCCAATATATAGAGAGTTATAAGTATTAAATTTATGTCAACTTTAAATGAGTACAGAAGGTCATGTGACTCGGTCAAATCGACCCACCCCATGTTACATTCAAAATTTAATTAAATGTCTTTACTATCAAATTATGTGAATTAAATTAACATTATAATGTATGTTATGATTCAAAGTTTTATGTCATCTAAGTTTAAGCCCTTTATATCAAAAGAAGTCTTAAAAACTACTTAAAACTTCAGAGCTATTGTCACGTGACCAACAAGCTATGAAAATTCTCTATTCTGGCACTCTGTATCTTCAATAATACAATGGCAGTTGTGTAAATGTACGTCTAGACTATAAGACAGTACTTAAACTATTTGCATGTACCTTTCATAAATCTCTGGATGAGTGTAGTTGAAACAAGTAATAAATTTTGTCAATGCCTGATAAATGCCACACCCATCATCAACAGATCTGTTTGAGCTTTATAGCCTACATGTAGAGGTTGTATACTCCTGTATATAGGCATTAGAAAGAGCTCATTTTACACTATAATCTAACAATGGTTTATTTTGAAATTGGCATGCAGCTGTTGTCACAGCATACATGTAACTGACCACAGTATTGTTGGCTACTTGATCAACTATTGAACTTATGGTTGTTTCTTACCTAAATATGTTATAGTTAGGGATACAGTTAAATTGTATTTAGGTCCTAATTTTATATTTTAGTTAATTATGTATTATTTATGTTTTCAAATGTATAAGTGAAAGATTTTAAACATTTTGTAAATAATCATCATATTCTGCACCAGGCTTATGATATTATGCAGTACAGAAAAATTTTGCCGAAAGGTTGTGCAAGTAACTACAGTAGATACATATTTTTAGTAGAAACAATTATAATACTGTCATTCTTTGTGTACAAGATACTTATGATCTTTCAAGAAAATCTTAGCAGTTTTTGAGAGGATGCATTAAGAAATCTCAGATTTACCATGTATTGTTGCAGAAGTGAAATTTGAGATACATTTTTTTGCAAATTACACAAGCCCAACGAGAAAGGGTTAAGGCAAAGTCTTTCAACACACTTCAATATAGAAACCTAGTACATATTTAGAATTACCTGACTTTACTATTTTATTTTGTGGCTATTTTTTGGTTCAGCTTTGTTGCTCTGTATTTAGTTATCTGATCAAACTATGTTCAAGATCAGGCCAAAATTAAATTATTGGCTTTGTACTTCATTTCTTAAATGTGTTTAACATATTGAACATTATATTTTTTAAAAGATTATAACTGTAGTTTACTTCTGCAATGATTTTCTTGACAGTACTTATTTTATCATTCATATTACAAACACACATTTGTCAATGGTTGGAGATTTTTTTTTCGTTAGTGTAAGTAGCATAATTACTTGCTCTAATAGCCCGTCATACAAATTTCTCGTGACCATAAGTTACAATGATTTTTTGTTTACCGTTTTAGACATATTTTGTTTTAGTAGTGATATTTTTGGCATTAGTATACTTCTTTGAAATGCGCCTTTTCTCCATTTTCATGAAAATACATTTAATTTCCTTAATGCATAAGAATGACATATTTCTTTGAAGTTTCATTCTTTTACAGAATTTCTCTATTAAATTTTTCTTTACAAATATACATTTTGTGAAATAATTCTAATATAGGATAACACTGAAATATATCTTGTATATTAAATTAAGTAATAGCAAGCACTGCTCCATAATGTTACTTATCTTTGAGTGAACTTCTGATAAAATTTCAAAAAAATGACTCACCTTAATGCAAGAGCATTTGGTTCAGATGACTGGCTAGTTTCATCTTGTTTTTCATCTTCTTCTTCTTCATCACCATAATCAAAATCTAACAATTTCTTTTGACAAAGAAAAAGAAAAAAAGATTAAATAAAAAAAAAATATTTAAGTTAATGCATCAATTTTACAATAACATGTCTATAGAGAGGAAATCTTTATATCGTTACATGTTAAAAAAAAGTGCTTTATCTAGATGGATCTATTGTACAGAACTTTATATACAGCTATATGCAAACCAAACAAGAAACTTTTCTTTCTATACGATTAAGGTTACAAATGTTCATGAGAACAATCTAAACAACATATTTTACAAGGTTGTTTACAACTATCGCCTCTGCCTTAAAAAAATATTAAATGAGTATCTCCACATTCTTCTTGGAACTTTTTATATCCCCCCCCCTCCCAAAGAAACATGGAACTGTTTAAAATGCCATAACACAATTATTACCTTGTTAAACTTCACTATGTTTTCTTCTTGTTGCATGATATCAGGCTTAGCCCCAGCTAATGTGGTGGCCAATTGCTGAAGATGACTTAGAAGATCCATGTTGGAAGCTTGCTGGCTAATACTATTTTCTGCTTCTTCCTCTAGCACTGTGGTATCTTGTTTTTCATCCTACCAAAAACAAGATAATGTTTACTTTTATTATTTGATGTAAAATATCCAAAATTATCAATTCAGAACTTATAACAAGGTAAATAATTAATTTAAAAATATCATTATATACATACCAAAAAGTGTCACATGCCAGTCTAGCTATTACAGAAAGAAAGTAAAAAAAATACTAACAAAACTCAACTATAATAAATGATGGAATAACTCATTTTACATCTTTTGATCTTATTTCACAGAATTGTGGATGCTAAAAAAAGAAAAAAATTGCTGGATTTCTTTTACCTTAAAAACAAACACACCATACAGAGAAAAAAATAAATAAAACAATTTGCTTTAAGACCTTGGTAAGTTCAATCAGGCCTAAGTTTGTTTAAACCTAAAGATCATGTTGTGGTCATAGGCCTACTCACAAGTAAGCTAGCTTGTAAACCATGCAACCTTTTTGACTGACTTTAGTCTGTTATTTATATACTGAATTTAAACTGTGTTTATGGGTCTGGTTTTCCTCTGGCTTTTCATACATTTTTCCCAAATGATTTTTTTTATTTCACAAATATTTAAGTCAATTTTATATGTTGATAAATTATAACTCAATATCAGCAATTAACCCCCCCAAAAAATTTTCTAAATTGATATTTTGTCATTTTATAAGATTTAGTTTGTGTAATTCACAGAGAAAAATGATTTTTCTTACAAATTTTCATTTCTGCACAGCTCTGAGGGGATCCTGCCTGTAAACAAGACTTTTTTTTAATTTTTTATAAGGATTTTTCTGCCAATCCCAAAGAATAGCTTTAAATTTGATATGAAACTATCATTCCTTGAGAATATATTTCTTAAGTTTCAAATGGGTCCCTCGACTTTTTCTGTTTGATTTTTATATACACTTTGGTTGCCACCCTTTTATGTTGTCACATCAACTGGTTTGATCATTTGCTACTGAAACATACCTTTGGGAAAGGTACACTTCCCACATCATAATAGAGAACATGGAGTGGTTTGAGCAGTAGTTTATGGTTCTTTGGGAAAGTTGCTAGCTGGAGCATTCAATAAAAAGTTTTGAAGACTTAAAAGCAAACCACAGACCTGGGAGTTTTTATATAGTTTCTTTCATGTTATTTTACTTTGTGAAAATGTTTTCAATGTTCAATTATTCCCTGTTTGAAAGCTACAGAAATGTTCTCCAATGAGAAAACATCCTTATTTACTGAATATTATATTTATGTTTATTGTATTAAGATGTACATAAAAAAATTGAATGAACAGCTTCCATTATTATTTCTAATTGCAATATCAACGTAATCCTTTCGTTACTGTCTCAGTGGATTGCACTGAGCACATGACCCCAAAACGACCATTAAAGTTTCCATAATATAACTTTTAAAATGTATTGTGTATCTTCATGGTATTTTTCAAGCTTTTAGTAAGCATTACAAGTCTTTTGTAGACAAAAAGTCAGAATTATAAATTAAGTATTTTTGGAAAAAAATTGGTCTGTAAATATATGAAGTCAGTATCGAGTGTTATATGTACAAAGTGATTTTCAATTTAACATTAAAATAAAATACTTTTCTTCATCTGAAAATGACCAAATTTAATTTGTGTAATCTCTAAAAACCACATATATAAATATCTAATGTTCATTTCCAATAAATCTTTATATTTTTCTGTTATTTTATCTACCCTAACTCTCTATACATTTGACCAAATTTGTAACCACCATAAAAAAATGTGTAGTATTATTATATCCTTTTAGTATTGATCACAATGTTCCAAGGTACTTCTCCTGAGAGTTTCTACTTTTAGCCTTTTTACATCTATTTACTATGTTTATTTTACTCTTGCCAACTTAAGTAGGAACCTCTCATTAGACTGTTTACGAGACACCATAATACAACACCATTAACAGCAAACAAGCATTTGTGGTGCAATAAGTCAACAATTCGCACAAAGCTTATCATAACCTTAGTTCCAAGAACACAGTGGGAGAAGATTTATCGATTTATTGACTATACTGTGGTTGCAATGAGAACCGTCTAAAGTAATAAAGGTGTATGAAAGTGCTTATGATATGGTTCTGTATAAAGTCGAGGATGGTCCAATAAACTTGGTAAGTACTTGGATGTTAGTTATCCTCCAGCGTAATCAGAATTTAGTGATACGGGTGTAAAAAAGTCTGTAAGTGTATATATGTGATTATTATTTACTCATAAATGCTTAATTTTTTGTTATTTTTCTTAAAACATAGAACAATAAATAAAAAATATACATAAAAATGATGACTTCTAGTACTTACGATATTATGAAATAGACTTGTACTTGCGCATCATACTTGCTAAGCTTCGCCATAAGCCTACTTTATTGTCTCAAGTGGAGGAGAACATAAATTAATTTTTGGAGATTTCAAATTTGCATTTTAGAAAACCAAAAAATTATCAAATTACTATACTGGTATATGTAAAACCACTGTAATTTGTCTGGCTTTCTAACTAAGATTTATGTACGTTATAAAAAAAAAATTGGCTTTCCTCTTTAAGCCAATTACAAACAACTGTAAGATTTATGTAATTTGGAATGTTTCTTTCTATTGGTTCTAAACAAAAACTTAAGAGAAGTAAGCTTGAATAATTAAGAGGTTTCAAAAAGAATGGAACAGTGGGAGAGGCTACCCTGGTAGGATTGATAAATATACTGATATCTCAGCAAATCATAAAGGTAGGAGGTATTATTTTATATTATACTAGCTAGAGCACCTGTCCCTTGAATGGAAGTTATGAAAATTCATGAATAATGAAAGGTTATTTTAGGACAAGTTTTAGAAAAAGTTTCCTATAAATGTAATTGTCAAAAACACTCGCAAAAACTGCAAGACACAAAATATAAAACATGTACCCAACAAATCTTCATGCCAAATGTGGTAAGATCTAACTAAAAAATGCCTATAAAAACAGCAAATATGAAAATTTGTATGTATTTTCCCATGCACAGGAGGTGAGGTAGTGGTAAAAAACACACATAAAAAAATGCAAAACTGAAAATTTTTATGTATTTCCCAATGAACCTCCATACCAAATTTGGTGAAAACTCGTCCACAGGAGGTGAAGTATTGGTAAAATATGCACATAAATTAAAAATTGAAAATTTTTATGTACCCCACATGGACCTAATGAGCCTTCATACCAATTTGGGTGAAGATCCATCCCTACCCTGCAAAGTAGTTACATAGACATACAACAGACAGTACTCTAATATCTATATAGATTCTAGCTTTTCAATATCTGAAATTTGTGTTATAATTCATTAACCACCATAGACGTTGTGTGGTAGGCATAATACAATATAAGTGAATTAACCAATAAGACAAGAGGACATGCAATGTGGCATACAAAAAAGGATATTTAACATTTTGTTTTTAATATTTCAATTATAAACTACATTTTGATGCCAATGTTACTGACATACATTGATAATAAAATTGTTTAATTAAATTTTGAAAATAACTCTAAAACGTTGTGATGTGCTCTTTGACCTGTCCATAGTGAGGGTTAAATATAAATATTTTTATTATCATCAATGACAGTAAAACATGTTTTTATTATGTGATTATCAATAAATATTAGAAACATAGCAGTACCAAACAAATCTGAAAACATTTCGAAATTATTTCAAATTCTATCATCAGTGTTAAAACCTCTACAAGTTAATTCACAACAATCTAATTACAAAAAACAACAACAGTGATTACTAAACAAGAAGTTTTTGATACAATCATAGGTTCAAAAAGAACATAGAGTTAATCCTATTGAGAAGGGTAGGGGGTCAGAGGGCATGTAATCATGTTTGTAGATTTACATACAACATTTTATTTAGCTATTACTTTATAAACGTATGTCAATACGTTTGGTATCAAACTGTTGATTATAACTCATATTTTAGTATTATACAATAGTTAGTTTCTTAATTTAAAACTAAATATTTAAAAAAAAAGGCTAAATATCGATTTTTGTGTGTCACGTGGTACGTAGCCTTCTGGGTGTGGTCAGATTATATTTTATGATGCCCACAATACAACATCTACAGTTTTGTACAACTTTGAAACTCAAATGTTCGATACTGGTGAGCTAGAATATAAAATAAAAACCTCCTAACTTTTCTATTTGCTGAGACACCATGATAATTAGCGAATCCACCATATTGGTTCCACCCATCATTTGAGAAGATTTATTTATCTACACCCACTTTTATATACCAATAACTTTTTAATCAACTGAAAGCTATATATTTATTATACATAATTCTGCCAGTCTTCTTAAGTTATTTACAAGAAAAATGCTCTTGTATCATTGGAAAATTTGAAGTAATGCTATCAAGGCTATTTTGTGAATAGAATTTATATTTTTTTAGACCCAAATACAATTTAGTTAGGAAGCCTGATAAATTACAATGGATTATTGGGGTATTGGTATAGTAATTTATAATTTTTTGTATTCCAAAATGCTTATATAAAGTCTAGAAAAATTATTATTTTTCCATCTCCACGTGAATATGGATGAGACTTAGCAAGTATGGCTCGTGACTGCAAACAAGGACTTCACAGCATCGTAAGTAGTAGAGATCATTGTTTTCCAATTATTTTTTATTTACTGTTTTATGTTTGAAGAAAAATAACTTTCAGTATTTATCTAAAAAATGTTATATATATATAAACACACACACAAGTAATGTACGGTAACCAATATGTTACCGTATTTTACAAAGAACTTGTGTTATTTTTCTACTCGTTTACACTGAGGTAGAATAAAAACAAATTTATCACTGATCAACTGATCTTAAAACATGAAAAATAACATATTACATAAACACCCAGTTGAACTTGCAGTTTGCTGGTGAATAATTTGTTTCTCAAGTTACAATCAAGAAGGCTAGCCTAACCTAAATGACCCATATTTATATTACTGGAAACTACACATTTATTGGTCACTGTGAGCATGGTAATATAGGAAACAGGATGTCCATAAGCATTTACACCTATACTAATGCTAAATCCCAACCACCAAGTAAGATAACTAGCAAGTTTATTGGATAGGATACAACTTTATACTTTGTACAAATCCATATCATAAATATTTTCTCTCACTTTTATAAAGCACTTTAGACAATTCTTGTTGCAACCACCGTATTGTAAAGAAGCCGGAATCTTCTATACCACTGTGTTCTCAGAGCAGCGATCCGAATAGTTTCTGTAGGATATTTACGCTTTTTGACTTACTGGATCGGCCCAGACTTTCTACTAAGTCACAAATATTTTATAATACTTTAAACAATTGTCGTTGTAACCATTATTATACTGTCAACAAGTTAATATATCCTATCCCACTGTGTTTTCAAGGCAGGAAAAATTCTGGGAATTGAGCCGCACAAACTTATTTGATATTGATAGTGTCAAAGTACAGTAATGCCTAAACAGGAATGGTGATCCATTGTTTTATATTTGGCAGGTTTCTACTTCAGTCACTAACAGTAGAATAACAATAAGAAATAGGTGTAAAAATATTAGAAGAAACTCTCAGGAGATTTACTTGGAACTTTACTGTCCGTACTGAAAAGAACAGAGTACTATTCATTTTGTTTCTTCTAATTTCTAACTCATCTACTAGAAACAAAATAACTAACGAAAATAACCGTGAAAAGGTGAGTATATAAACTCTGACCATAAGTAATTTTGTAATCATTACTAACAATACTATACAATTTATTTTGCAACCTTTATTTTCGTTATACATTGATTACTTACCTACAACCTGGAGAAATAAGTATAATGTTACATTACAAAAAATAACAAATAATATATAAAGCTTTATTGAAAATAAAAATGTCTGATATTTAATTATGAGGTTTTTATTTTTCATTTGTTTTAACTGCTTATTATAACAAAAGTAACTAAAATCATAAAAATAGAAAGTTGTTAGGTAAGATAATGAAAGAAAAATAATAAAAAACTTCATGGGGTATATGAGCCAGAAGCTTCTGCATTACGCTCTTCAACAGGGTCATGCTGATGCATGTGCACCATATAATTTTCAACTCCTGTCAGGGTATTTTTAGTCACCCACAGTTCAAAGGTCAATAAAACAAAAATTAATAAAGATAAATAGATTTATACTGTTAAGAGATTTAAGCTATTAGAATAACATTTGTGGTTTCCTATTACAATCTGCAGTTATTCTAGAATAAAAAGGTAATTTAGATTTCCTAATTTTTTATGATGGTTACGAGGTCAGTCAAATTGATCGACACTATATAGAGTTAATATTGATAAAATAATAGATTAAATACAGTTTTATTAAAGATAATATTTGATAATTATCAAGAAGGATATAGAGATTATGCAAATGAAACTTGACAAATTTCATATAAAGAAAAGACAATATTCAGAAAAAAAAATCCTGACCAAACCTTTAATAAAAAAATCTTAAAACATAATTAAAAAATCAGATATTTTGTGTATGAAATCCTTGTAATGTTTACTAATAATCTGTAAAAGTTTGTAAAGACTTGCATATATTTGCAAAAATTATTCTCATAGATACTTTCATGGTTACGAGCCGGGTGGAATCCACCCAGCCCGTAATGGAAGGGTTAAATAGTAACACATGTTTAACAATACTGTTAAGAGAAAACATTATAAAGAAAAGATAAATATATATATATGTATAAAAAACTGTATCTTTAATCACAAGTGTGAGACAAATGTCAAAAAAGAAAGAAAGAAATGGTTACATTAATGACAACATAAATAAGTTGATGTATTTAGTGTTGGGTAATCATTGAAAATGGAAAGGCATACTTTATTAAAAAGTCTGTAAACTGTTGGAGTCAGTGTTAATGCTTATGTTGGAATTTTAAAAAAATCTTGAATATCTGTAATTAAAAATGTTTTGGGTATTACTGTGTTTTTCAAATTTTGATTATCAACGTACTTGATTTACAAGAGATGAATGACAGATTACAGAATAGTTTACAAACAAACAAAATAGCAACCACATGGTTATCTTGACATTTTCAATTCAGCAAGTAGGAAATTTGAGTTGATCTTAAAAAAAAAAAAAAAGTTGACAAAAGCTTAAGCCAAAATAATTTTTTCCTAAAAAATGCACAAATGGCTACCAATGATACAATAACTTTGCATTTTATTTTGTAAGTAGTTAACACTCACATTTTATAATTTAAATTATTGCCTTTGGCTATTTTTGTACATTTCCATTAATCAATTTACAATTTTAACCAAGAATTTAATTTTTTTAATACCATGATTAATAAATATTTCTTTATAACCTAGTTCACTAGCATATACAAATTGGTAACTATTTTTTGTATTAATTTGTTTAATTATCATTTTTCTATTTGTAAACGTTTTTAACAGAGGTAATTCTTACATGAGAGACCCACCTTCATGAAAAGTACTAAGTTTAAGGACTTAAACCCACTTATGCTATTGAAATTAAGTTACTTGATAAAATATCAGTTATTTATTACACTTGAATTAAAGAAACTGAAGTTCAATGAGACTTGTGAGTTTGCATCTGACAAAAGTCAGCCCATTAGACTTGTCCAAGGTAGTTACTTAAACTTTCATTTACTTACTAATATTCTTTAAATGATCTATAAACTTATCATGCCTGATATTAACCTTTAACCTCAAAGCCTTATAAAGTTTATATAGTTGTATTTAAGCAGACGTGTGTGTGTGTGTACATATATACATACACACACATACATATATAAAATTTACATTTTATCCTATAAGATACACTTTAAAATATTAAACAGAATGCAATAAGGCTAATCCATCTATTATTAAAACACCTTTTGTGACCCATGTACCTGATTAAGAGAATTACTTTGTGGTTCATATGATGAAAAAAATCTGTTTACAAACCTCATCAACATGCATGATGGTCCTAGATTCTGTAAAGTTCTGATTCCCTTGACTAGACTGTGACCAACCTTTCCAACTTGGACTTTCAACAAGTTTGGTTGAACTTCTTTCAATTCCTTCATTGGCTACTGGAGACTGGTTACTATCTATACAAGTTTTAAATTAAAAAAAAATTAGTTTTTTTACCAAGAATATCTTTCATCTATAAGTACAAACTTGTTAGCATATCAGACAGGCACAATTTAACAAAATAGTAAAGCATTAGGTTGGGAACATTTTAAGCAATAATTGTTACAAAATACACTATGAAAAAAACTCATAATAAATATGAAGAATAAACACTGATAATTAAAAACAAAATTATGAAAAACAAGAACAAAGTCTATGTGAGAGGAGAAACCAGATTTATTGGTAAACTACTTAAATAAACTTAAAGCAAGAAACAACATAAATACAGCATTATAACAGTGTTATAACAATATAAGTAACAATTAAGTTACTACATTCCAAGTATAATTAAAAATATTCAATTTTTCCACTTTATATCAATCAGCTGACCTATCTTTTTTCTTCCCAACCTCATACCTACCTTATGAACATATTATCCAACTAAGTTAATCCATTCTGTGATAAATTACACATTTCGTGGATCAAAACATTTATATACATATAAATTCTCAATTGTTTGTAGTTTCGTAGCAATTTCAAGTTTTAGAATTTTTATCAGAAAACCATAAAATATATCCCTTTAACATTCACCATCTTCTGTCACTTCTCAGATCAAAACTAGTCAAGAAATGTCATCAGGATAATTTTCATTGCTATTTAATGTTTCTGTTTTGTTTAGTGAAGAGTGATGAATTATTTATATTTCTCATCTCTCCTATTTCAATTTTGAGTTTTATGCACTTACAGTTTTAGGTGGTCATGGCTACAACTGCTGTTACTGCTACAGCGGATTTACCGACTGCAGCCACTGGGAGTTGACCTATATCATGCTACATTCAAAACAAACTGACGATTGTTCTGTCATACTTCCTCAGGGTTTGAGTGATTGGGATGAAGAGGATATGGATAGCCCCCCCCCCCTCGAATTTGGCCTCAGTCCCGTGTTCTTTCGGAGGACTTTCCCAGACCTTCTTCTCCTTTTGTGGAATTGATTTACCAGGTTTGATATGTTCTGTCCTTCTCTCTTGTTCTCTGTGGTTCCACCCTTGCCCTTCTTGGGGGTGAACCTTTGGGTCATTATCTAGTGTTTCCTCCTTCCCTGGATATTGGGGTTCATGCGAGCTGTTTTGGGGAACAACTGCATTCAGAGATCAGTATGCCTCGATTCCTATGTGCTATGGAAATCAAGCTTTTGGTTGTCATTGTTCCAACTTCTCTTATTTGGACTCCCAGCATTGCAGTTGTTCATCCCTTTGTGGGGATCAATTAGACCTCGATAACCTTTTCCCAACCATAGACTCCTTCAATTTGCCCACATTTGGATGTTCTTCATGCTTGATCTGTGGGTTCTGAAAGTCACCTCTGAAGGTCTGGTCCTCCATTTCTATTTATCTCCCCCATAGTCTCACAATACAATTTCCTTCTCTCTTTAGATCTTCATTAGGTTTTCATTTCAAGCCTGTGGATGACAAAGGTTGATGTGTCAGATACAAATCTCCATATCCCCATCTCCCTCACATCCAGATAATATCTTTGATATCTTTGCTTTGTTTGTCACAGGTGTGTGTTTCAGTTTCTGGCACTTCCATTCGGACTTGCCTCAGCTCTCTATGTGTTTTGTTGAGTGGTCAGGGCTTTTGCCTACCTGCTTCATTTCTGGGTGTTTTGAACTCCTTCCTCAGTTGGGCTCAGCCTTCTCCACTTTGGTTGAGAGCTATGGAATGTCTTGTTTGCAGCATCTCATCCTCTTCTTCTCCTACTGCATGAGAGGTTCTTTCTCTCTCTTTTGGGGACGTGCGCTTCTCTGCAAGTTCTCATTCCTCTTGGTTGTGCCCAGTATACACCAAGGGGCCCCATTTTATTTCTGTACTTTTTTGGGTCCCACAATTGTTTCCACCCCTTTGATGACACATTACTAATGGGTGAAGAGTATACCTGGCTCAGAAGTGGTGTGATCTCTCACAAGTATTGTATTTAATTCCTTCTCTCACCCAATAGTTCTCATTTGGTGCACTTCCAGAAGGGAGATCATCTTCTCATCGGCCCTCCACCTGTTTAAAGTGGGATTCTAGCTTTTTCCAAGAAGATGTAAGATATTGTATTGGAAGCGAACATTTTCCTAAACTGAAAATATATTTCTGATAGATACTTACATCTTCTCACATTTCCCACCTCTCCTCTCCACTTCTGGTGTTATTTGGTTGATCTGACCTGACCAATCATGAAGTGATTAACAGTTGCAAGACAAGAGACAGTGCTAGTTATGATAGGGGTAGTGTCATACTCCTATTGGTGGAGGGTTATTGCATAATCATTTGCATGTCAGTATGCAGATATCTCACATTAACATATGTGAGGGTAAGTGGGAGTATCAAGGTTAGTGGAGGGAAAATATTTGTGCTGATAGAGGACAGTATAAGTTGAGAAAGCTGTTTGTGAGAGGAGGTAAGATATTGTATCAGACCTTTGCCTTTATATTGGTTATAAATAATGTATTATAAACATCAGAAAGAATTATTGGCAATTTGTGAAAAAAGGAGGATGTGACAGGTGAGTGTGGCAAGTGGGTCTGATTTTCTAGTTTATGACTCCATAAACAAATAAGATTGAAAGCCATAAAAATTAGTATTTGGATTAATAATATCTATATTATAATAAATAATTTATGTTAAATTCCATACTTCACAGAGGAGTGATAAATAAATTAAAGAAGACCGAGGACTTGTTTAAACATTTCCTAATAAATTAAGAACTTAAAACTTACATAATACTAAAATTTGATTTATTAACAATGTTTTGATGGCAAGTTTATTTGTATACATTGATAATAAAGTAGTTTAATTAAATTTTGAATGTAAGGTTGTCACATACACACACTGACCTACCTGTAGCAAGAGGGTTTATGTAAAAACTAATATCTAGTGTCTTGGAAGTTCCTTTTTTGGATGATGTTACAACAGAATTTAGTGATGGTTGAGTCAATTATCTATATTCGAAATTCTTTTAGATTTTATATCACTGAAGTCCTTAATATAGAGAAAGGACCCTCACTGGTTTTTTAGATGTTAGATGTTATTAGGAGATCTAAATACTGGATAAAGTTACTCATTTGTCTTGGAAATTCCTTAGTTTAAGCAATACTAAAAAGGTCTGCTTTTACTGGATTTTCATTCGTAGTTACACAAAGATCTGTATGTGCATAGCTGTTCCAATTTGGATCAGACAGATCAGATGGGAAACTAGTTAGTCAACAGCACCTACCAATAACCCCTGAGTCACCTTGCATTGGGACATGACTGTAAATTCCATGGCCTCTTAGAATGATAAAAATTTTTGCAACAATGGTCTCTAACCCATGAACCTTTCAATTCAAAATCTGAACCTGCTAACTACTAGATTATTCCCAGCCCTATAAATAAAACAAAAGTCTTCGTTGTAAGTCTTAAAAACACTGAAGTTATTAAAGTATTTGAACCTGATAAAGGAGGTCTCTTACTGATCTTCAAAATTCATGAATTTAATTGTTAACAAAAAACACAAGTGTGGTTAATGGATATCATCTGTCACAGTTTCCTTTGCTAAGAACTTACTAAAGGATCTAAAATGGGGAGGCATATAAAATTTTTAGAAATACACTAGCTTGGATGTCATTACAAATTGAAATTGAGGACAAGACCATTTACACAGTTATTTAACTGCACAATGTAGAATTTTGGGTCTAAACAGCCCTTCAAGTTAAGGGAGTTCTCTATATTGTATGCAACACACAACAGTGACATGCAATAGAAAATAGGTGAAGCAAGTGGTACTTACTTGTGTTATTTGGATCTGCTAAGTCCAAAAGTGGCTGAATGATTTCACTTTGAAACACATTATTCTTCTGCCACAAATTGAGAACCCTAACCACCTTAGACTAAAAATAATAAAAATAGAAAAACACAGATTAATCACCACAAATTCTTAATATAGGTAATTTTTCATTATCATTTAAGATACTCATTAATAATTTACCATGATTTTATGAAATAATTCCAATAAGTTTTTCATTAAGTCCATATAAATACATTCTTCAATAAAATAGTTTTAGTAACTACAAAAACTTCGTAATTTCAAGACTTTTTCAAATCATGTGATACTTTTTGATTTAATTAATTCATCAATCTTAATATAATAGAGCTATACTGACTATTTAAAATTAAAATTCCTGCAATGTTTTCTTAAAGACTATCAGTACCCTCTGATTTAGCTATAAACTTTTTGGTAAAAACATTTATGAATTTTTATAACTTTTCTCATACAAATTGATTGTTAAAATCTGGTTATAATATTCTGAAAAAGAATTTGCCAAAATATAAAATAGAGGTTACAATTCTCACCCTATCTTCATCAGGACACTTGAAAAGATTCTGAAATGTGGTAGTTATGTTCTTAGAGAATCGTGGAGCAAAAACATCTTTGTCACCAAACTGATGCCTGGATTGTCGCACTATTGAGTCAATAACATATAATCCAGGAACTTTGTATTCAGGCCGACACTAGAAAAACCGATAAAAAAGGAAAAATCTAAATAAATTTTAAATCTTCACCCTTCTATATCATGTCATGCCTCTCTGCACTGAACTCACCAATTTAGATTTTCTTTTTTTCCCTTATATGGGTTTCAGAAGGTCCACCAATTACAAATACCAACTATAGAAACTGACAGGCCAGAATTTAAGATAAGAACCATATATTTTCTGAGACATTAATATATTTGCTATATTCACCACAGAAGCTCCTACCAACTCTCTACGATTTTGAAATTACTTATTTATTCATGCTTACTTGCCAATAGTACATGTTTATAACAAGAAAAAGGCCATTTTGTGAACTACGTGATTATGATGTTGTTATGTTAATTTATTTCGGAAAAAATATTCCTGATAAGTTTTCATCTATGACTTAAATCATGCTAAGTAATCCATTCCTAGATCTAGCCTAAGGGAGTACACCAGAAAGGACCACAAGTGTATACCTATTCATAAACCCCAGAAAGAGTTATTTACATAATTTAAGCAACTTTTTAAATTTAAAATTTCTAACATCATTTGCTAGCACTACGAAAAGAGAAATCTTGACTATTTGTTACCAGTAACCAAACTGCCAACATATACACTATAATGTTCTCTCCTTAGTATCTGACATGCAAATTCTGGTCATTCTTTTTTGCATTCCACTGCAAATAACTCAACCAGTATACTTAAAGAGTCTCCACTGGGTAAACTCCCTTTGATATTGAAGTTTCCAACTTCCCTCACCAATAGAAAAGTAATCATTAAATCTAGCTCTGAGCTACCAAATATTGGAACACTGCATGCAGCTGCTATCTCCTACTGAAGAAATAATATTAACCCACTGAAGAGGACTTACAAATCAAAAAGAGGCAATTACCTCTCAACACATTCAATATGTCAGCAAACAAAGGTTCAACTCTGGAAGATAATAGTACCTGAATACTAACCAAACTTGCTTCAATAGGACCAGTTGATTTACTACTATTGTGCAACTTTATCTATTTCCTGTCTTGTTTCCTTAATTTCTGCTTCTAATCTGCTATTTTCTCCCTTAAACAGCACAATATTATCCTCATGTAAAGAAGCTCAGCAAGTAAAATGTACTATATATTTTTAATTCTCCTGAAAGTAACAATTAAGTCCACAACTCTCAAACATAGCCAATTCCTGGCACCTACTGCTCTATAAATTCCACCCCACTTATCCCTAACCTAACTGTACCATATTGAAGCTTTACTAGCCTGTATTCTCTATTACCAATCTATTCACTCCATAATTGTACATTTAAAAAAAATTAGGTTACTTCACAATTCATAGGTTAAATTATAGATAAATCTAAAACTAAAATTCTTATTAACTTTTTCCATATGGATATCCTTTTCTGAGCATACCATGAGGTTTTACATAGTTATATTAAAAATTTAATTAAACTACTTTATAATCATAGTATACAAAAATTTGGCATCAATACATAGCTAATAAATCAAGTATTAATATTATACAAGTTTTAAGTTCTTAATTTTATCAGGAAATATTTTAAAAACCCTCAATCTCCCCTAGTATGAGAAATGTGACATTTGCTCTTAAGGTCTTTCCTCTTTTCTAATTTATTTACCACCCATCCAAGAAGTATGGAATTTAACGTACATTACTTATTATAATATAGGTCTTACTTGGGCAAAGCATAATTTTTGTATCCTTTAATTTTATTTGGTTACAAAGTCATAAACTAGAAAATTAGAACCCTCTTGCCATACCCACCTGTCACACCATCTCTTTCACAAATTGGCAATAGTTCTCTCTGACATTTAATACTATATTACTTATAAGCAATAGAAAGCCAAAGTTTTAATATATCAAATGATGTATTAC